AGCAACTCAGTTAAACATATACAAACAATGCAAATGCATCGCAGCCCAGATAAAAAAAATATATTGTAAAGCGGGAATGGATGAATAGGCCAGGGCAGAGGAATCCTAGACTCATTGATTCGTAGAGTTGGAAGGGGCCTCTAAAGCCATGAGGTCCAACCAACCCAATGCAGGACTCCAAGATAAACTACCCCTCTCTGATGGTTGTCCAGCTGCATCTCAAATGCCTTCATTTGCAGTGACCAAATAAGAACAAAATCAAGGAAGAAGGACACACTGGGAAGTTGTTCAAGAAATCTCAGATTCATTGACGGGTGGCAAAGAAGATGCTTCCAAGAACAGGAATGGGCAAATCTCTCAAACTTTGTGCTGTTGAGGTTCTCATTTTTGCATTACCAAATGTATTCTTTTCCAATACCATGCAAGCTTTTTCTAATTTTATACAAAAGCAATTTGCATGCATTTTTGTGTGCACATTTGTGCAAAGTACATGTTTTCCTACAGATGCACCCATAAATGCACTCAATGCCCCTTAACCATCTGTCAGCATACAAGGGCTTGATATACTGGTGCAGCTCCCTTGATTTTTTTTTTTTTTTGGTATACGCTTATAGTATGAATTGCTTTTAAATTTCATATATTGGAATCTTTGTACTGTATGTCTTCATATTATGGTTTATGTTTTTATGAATGAGTGTGAATCGCTCCGAGAACTTCAGCTAGGGGGAAGTACAAAATGGAATAAAATCAATGAAACTAGATCTGGGGTCTAATCCCACTCAGCCATGGAGCCAGTTGGGTGACTTGGGGCTGGTCACAGACTCTCAGACCAACCTACCTTACAGGGTTGTTGTTGTGGGGATAAGACTGAGAGCAGCAGGAGGAGAATGATGTAAGCCACTTTGCGTTCTTTGTAAGAAAAAGTCAGGATATAAATCTAATAAGTAAATAAATAAACAAAAATATGTTTGTGTACCTTTTACAGAAGTATGCATTTTTTTTCATGTGCTTTTGCAAAAGTGCACTTTTGGTTAAATGTGTTTTGTGATTTATGAAATGCATTACAAACTCAGAACTGCATGGATATCTGCCTTTGAGTCCACAGTCAGTTCCACGAGTATGAATGGAGAGATCCTACGTTACAATGGACACCCATCAAAGTTTCTCCCATCCCAGTCCAATAACTACAGTTCAAGTCTTACAGGACACAGAATACGTAAACAAGATGAGTTAGGAAAGAAAGGTAAACCACTTGTCCCTTTGATACTTGGAAAAACGATGCGGGGGCAGGCAGGATGTCCAAAACTGTCACAGTAGTGGATTCTTGTGACATGCACTTTATGTTAAAACAGCTATGGAAGGTGTCCTACTTTTACCAAGGTGCTGAACACCCAGTATTTTAAAGGACACAAGTAGAACGAAATATTGCTTGCCCATCTTTCTTGCAATTCAATATCAGCAGCAGGGAGAAAGCAGAATTAAAGTGTTGCTGTTATTAAGAAAAATCACCATGAAACAAGTCAGATCTTCGCAATGTGTGACCCACCAAGCTGAATGGGGCCCATCAGCCATGTTTTGGGGGGAAATTGGCAACTGTTTCCACTGGATTTCCTTTCAAGACCCCTTGAGCACCAAGTTAAGCCAAAAGACAATCACTTAGACCCCTTCACTTGGACAGGTGTCTCTCCAATGGACAGGGGTGTCCAGTCAAATATGACCTCTCTACTTTCTTGTCACTCTGAAGACGGCCGAGGTTGTTTCTGTTTGCAGCTGCATCTCTATGCCCAGAAATCCTCTTGTGGTCTCACATCCAGAGTAGCTCTTCCTTTGGCATACAATGGCTCTGAAGAGCCAGTTTGCACCATCCACTAGTTTATAAGCCACGTCCTGTCTCTTCCTAACTCACCGTACTTCTTATACCATCATACCATCTCGGATAAATTGCAGTGTTGCATGGCAAGGAATAGCACTTGTGCCCAAGTTAACGAAAGACTGCTTCTCCTTTCGTTCTCACAGTTTGGCTTTGTTTCTATCCAAGCCTCTGAGTTTCTCCCTATTTATTCCCTTTAGCCAAATATTTATAGAGGGTGCCAAGAGGTAAAATAAAGTATAGTAATTCCTCCTCCTTCCAGTATTTTGTTTGCCTGCCTTCCACAAGATGTTCAATTCTTTATGCTTCTCTGTGAATCATAACCATAAACCACTTAAAGACTGGAAGGCTAATTTATGCAATGCTAACATATTAGAATTTACTTCTGTCAGCAAGAATGTAGCATTTGGCCCTGTGAAATGCTCTAGAAGAAAAACAAACTGGAGAGAGTAAAAAAAAACAGAATAGTGAAATATTAGCTTGAAAGAAGGTTTGACTGAGCTATAAAAATTTACTTAACAGAGCCATTATTATCATTGCTTTGTAGCAAGCCAGTGTTGGCATGGAAGAGTATTTTGTGGATTTCATGTTTACAGGGGTACATACGCAAAAGTTCCCAAAATTTTCATGCTAGAGCACTTAGCACAGCTTCCTTACCTCCCTTCCTTCTTTTATTTATTGCTTTAGAGTTCAATTTTGGGGGACAGCACCTTTGCTCCTCACAGCCGCCACTTCCTCATGGATGCCATTTTGCACCCACCACAACTAAGAACGTGCTAGAAAATGGCATGCTGTGTCGAGGTAGTGTTTCCCACAAGCAGCTGCCATGTTCCCACAATGCCCCTTGGAACTTTATTCCCAGAATATTCTGGGACAGAAAAGAACAGCTGCCAAGGGGCCTGCCCTTTCCACCATCGGAGGAAAAAGAAAAGCAAGTCTGAGTGTTGCCACTGAATGATAAGCACTGCTCCCTGAACTTTTGAGAACTTCCAGAACCCACGGTATGTCCCTTAATTTCAGAAGCTCCTAATTTCAGAAGTTCATTTGTTATCATTCCCAATTTTCAATTGAAAGCATACAATGATCAATGTTTGGTTCAGCAGATGGTCGACCTCACAGTTTACAACTTTATTCCTGTCTACATTTACTGTTTAAATATACTTACTTAAATAAGTACAGACTTAAATATATTTAAATGCTTAAATATGCTTATTGTTACTGTTCAAATATACTTAGAGAAGTAAGTCCCACAGAGTGTAATAGAAATAATTTCCTAGTAAGTCAGCAGTCATGTGCCCATTTAAATGGGTGTAAGTCCCATGGCATTTAATAGGGCTTATTTCAGAGAACACATGCATAGGATTGCTCTTTATAGGTCCAGCTTCTCCTCCCCCACCCCTTTTTCCTCTCTGAGGCCCAGCTGAAAACCCAGTAGGAGGAAGCTGGCACAGCTCTTTCCTCACCAGCTGCAAAGGGCAGGGCAGGGGCTTGGCCTTCAGAGTCCAAGCAATGAGGTTAAGGACCTTGGTGTTCGGACTCCAAAAAATCCTGTGATTCCCAGACAACAGTGGGTGACCCTAGGATCGCCAGCTAATGTTATTGGGAACAATGTTGGTGCATGTATTAGCTGAGCTCAGATAACCTTCCTTTCTACATTAAGAGTTATGTCACCATGTAACATAGGGTTCTCTAAAAGAGAATGCCTTAATCATTTTCTGTGTCATCTCCCCTTTGCAGCAGATCAAGGCAAAAACCAACTAAAATATAGCCCTTTGTTGAAGTAGGCTCACCTAGCAATACAGAATAAATAATAATGAAGTCTTTAACAAGTAGCATCTATCAAAGTAGTGATCACTCTGATTGGTAGAGTTAGCTTTTTTTCATGACAGGAATGGATTCCAAACTGAATCCCTCTCCTCATCTTCCAAAAGGGGCTGGCTCTACTCTAAGGAAGGTTCATGCTGCCTCTGAGCTAGGTGGCAGAAATGCTGGACATTACTTAATTGGCCTGCTTGTTTGGCTTGATGATGAACCACTGGTGTGGTGAACCCTTCCCAAATGATCCTACTTCTTCTACAGTGCTTCACCTCAGACCAGATGTCATCTGGTTCTCACCAACCACTTGGCTGATCTCATTCTTTAACTTTTGGATTTCACTAATGCAATCCAACCCTCCTCTTCTTCCTCTCAGTCATTTCATTAGCCTGAGCTTCCTAGCTGCATTTTGAGAGAAGTTGTGAAAACATATATACCAATAAATAAATCCTATGAAGTTCAATGGGACTTTCTCCCAAGTAAATGCATTTAGGATTACAGTCTTATGCTTTATTATTTTGGGACCATCAAGGCAGCAGATAGTTATAAACCAGGCAAGTTTGTAAATCCAGGCAATGGCATACTCAAGGATGCCACGGAGAAGCAATCAGATCTCCTGATGCTGCGAGAACACAATTACTCCTCTTCTGGCCTGCATGCTTTGATCAGTAGATTAACCCATTACTGCATTATAAATAATGCAAAAATAATGCAAACAGGATGAAATTGGTAAAATAAAACTGGAACCAACAAAAAAGCAACACAGTTCAAGCAGGGAATAAATATCCTTAATGGCAAATTAGGTGGCACCTACATTTAAGAGAACAAGAATGATTTTGTCTGCTGTCTCAAGGTAGCAATGTAGGCTGCAGCTACACCTGGGCTAGAGAGCCACTCAGCTATCACGGTTAGGTGCCACCACATGTTTAGGTAGGCACTCACCTGTAAACAGAAGGCGGGGATCCCCAAAGGAGGTTCCCTGATACAGATCATGATTGCAGGGCAGATTTATGTGAAATTAATCCACCAATAATCAGTAAGAAAGAGGTTAATTAATCATGAAGCTATTTAGATAGATAAATACTGAGGAAGAAAGAGAGAGGTGATGGATTTATGAACACTCTGCATGTCTATGAGTTTTGAGGTTTGCACTGAAAGTTGTAAATTCTTCATCAAACAGGTACATGTGTGTTTCAAGTCGCCTGTAATTTTCACCCAAGTCTCAGATGCAAGGTGGCGGACAGCCCTGTCTGACAAGAATCCTGCGGTTTACATCTGATTGGTGGCCATGGAAAGAGCCACGTGGAACACTTACCTGTTTATGAGCGTGGTCATAGGAGTTGATGTGATTGTCGAACTCTTGATGTTTGTAATATTGTTTGTCACACAGTTCACAATAGAAATTTGCTTTCAGGTCTTCCAGAGCCTTGGCTATTGTATTCTCCTTTTCAGCATAATCCTGCAGAAAAGAGGCAACAGTTCTTAGTTGATACTGTGACACTACAAAGTAGAAGACTTTTTGTGCTCCGTAATTAAATCAAATTTGTCAACATTTACAGTGCCATAACTAAAAGCCTACACACGTTTGCATTATCAGCAGAGAAGCACAACATTTTTGCACACTCCAATTTTCACTCCAATTGACAACTACCTTGAGGGCTTTTGGAAGACACAAGGCCAAGAAAACATGTTTTTAATCTTGCAGAAAAGTAAATAAATAGAATGAATATTTATCTTGCTTAAGGCTCTGTTAATGTTAATTTCTGGGAGTTGGGGTGGGGATACCATGCGCACACATCAGTGGTCAAAACCTTCAGTGAATAATACATTTCAGCAAATGTGTTTGCTGAAACACAGATGGAGATTAAAGCAGCCATCTAATTTGGTTACAGGGCTGTTCTCAGTGAACAATTACTGCTTGAATACGAGGGAAAATAAACATGTTGGAAGATGACTGTGACCACGATTGAATAAATATTTGTTTTGAGAATAACAAACATTGCTATCGCATATGTATGGTGTTTGGGTTGCATGTGTCAGTGCTGACACATGTACATATACATATTTCCCAGTGGTCTTAGGGGCACTGAAACCTGAAACTGTCACATCACCCAAGCAGCGTCCAGTATGAATGCTTGCAAACCTTCCTCTGCGGCATCATCGTAAGACTCTGGCCTGGCTCACATATGGGCTGCCATTGAATCATGGGCTGCCATTGCATCGTGGTTGTCATTACTTGCAAACCCTGCCCTATGGTTTCTGTGGGCAGTAAACCATGAACAACTCACAATTCACAACCCAAAAACAAACCGATGAACAACCCATAGTTAAACCGTAATGACAGCCTAGGATTCAGCAACAATTCAGTGACAACCCATTGTCAGGATCAGGGCAGCTCCGAGACTCTGTCTGCTGGGTGAACACCAGACTAATGGTCACAGCAGTTGCACCTTTAGTCCCAGACTCTGCTGCAGCTTCCAGGGCCTTCATGAGCACCACCTGGGAGCCCTGGGGGGAGGGCTATTTATTTAGGAGCAGGCTCCTCCTTGTGGGAGCTGCCTCGGCACCACTGGTCTTCTGTGTCCTGTAGCTAAAGCCTCGCCTCACCTTGCCTGTTCCTCATTGTGTTGGTGTGCCAGTTCTTGGCCCCCTGCATGTGTGACTGCACCATTGTCTATTGGACTTGACTTTGCCTTGGTTTATGACCTGCTTTCAGTTTGTTCCTTGGACTGTTTGGGACTCTGGCTCTGGACTTGTTATTGGACTCTGCGCTTGTACTGCCTTGACTCCTGTTGCCTGGGTCATGTGCATCTCCTTGGCTTCCTGCTACTGCACCCCAGACCCATACGCCCATAAGCAGAGCTCGCATCATGTATGGGCTAGTCAGAGATGACAGCAAGTAGCAAGAACAACAGAATCGTATAATCACAGAGCGCCTGTTTCCACCCCCTGCTCAGTGCAGGCTCTGCACTGCCAGATGGCCTCTGCTGAAGCAAAAGAGGACCCACCGCCTCCCGAAGCAGCCTGCTCCGCTTCTGAACAGCTCTCCGTGTTAAGAAACTGCTCCTCATGTGAAGCTGGAATCTGCTTGCTTGACCTCTGCAATTTCTACCTGTTGGTTCTAGTCCTGTGCTTGGGATTAAGAGAGCACATGCCTGCTCCCCTCTTCTGCATGATAAAATGTGTTGAACGCCACTACCATGTTTCCCATTCATCTTATATCATCAAGACGAAACAGAAAAACATAGAATCACAGCGAGTCAGAAAGGGCCTCCTGGGCCATATAGTGTGACCCCCAGCTCCAGCTGGCTTCAATCATTTAATCCCCAACATGTGGCTGCCCAATCTCTACTTGAACACCCTCACTGATGGGGTCTCAACCACCTCCCTTGGAAGCCCATTCCATATCCTGGGGGTTCTAACCAACGGGAAGAGCTTGCTGACAACCAAACTGAAGTCTGGTTCCTTGAGATTTACCCCATCCCACTCTCCTCTGCAGGGAAGAACAGGTCATGACCCATCTCCACATGACATGCCCAGCTCTTTCTTCATAGGACTTGTTTACCAGGCCCCAATACCATTCTGGTTGATCTTCGTGACATCATTGCCTGGTGCCGCTACTCATTTCCGAGCGTGCACATGGCCCCTATGTGCACTATTATCCGATGCTCGGCAGCAGGGATGATGCACGGTCAAATTGGCTTGTGTGATGACAGAGAGGGCTCTGCTTATCCTCTGTGGCACACATACCAAAGGTGCACCACCATTGGCCTAACCCTAACCAGGTGCACTCCCCTAGCCGTGATATAGGTTGAAAGTTCCATAGAAAAGAGGGCAATTTTGAAAAAGCCTTCCTTGAGTAGATTTTTCTGCACAGCTCATCATTTCTGCCTATTCTAAACACATTCAGACCAGCAAAATCATGCCAGAACACATAGTTTTACTAACCCTAACTTTACCCTGGTGCAAATCCCTAACACAAATATAGGGGTAAAGTTCAAGGAAAAAGGGGGATTTTGAAAAAGCCTTCCTTGAGTAGCTCTTCCTGCACAGCTCATCATTTCTGCCCATTCTAAACTCATTCCAACCATCAAAACCATGCCAGGACACCTCGTTTATCAAACCCCAATGCCGCCCTGGTGCACTCCCCTAACCCTAATATAGGGGTAGAGTTCCAGGGAAAAGGGGGTGATTTTGAAAAAGCCGATGCCTTGAGTGGCTTTTTCCATACTGCTCATCATTTCTTCCCATTCTAAATTCATTCCAACAATCAAAACCATGCCAGGACACTTCCATTTTCTAACCCTAACCCCACCCTGGTGCACTCCCCTAACCCTAATATACGAGTAAAGTTCCATGGAAAAGGGGACAATTTTGAAAAAGCCTTCCTAGAGTAGCCTTTTCCATACAGTTCATCATTACTGCCCATTCTAAACATATTCTAACCATCAAAACCATGCCAGAACACCTCGTTTTTCTAACCCTAACCCTACCCTGGTGCAAAACCCTAACCCTAATATAGAGGGAAAGTTCCATGGAAAAGGGGGCGATTTTGAAAAAGCCTTCGTTCAGTAATTATTCTTTCACAGCCCATCTTTTCTGCCCATTCTAAACACATTTCAACAATTGAAACCATGGCAGGACACCTCGTTTATCTAACCCTACCACTACCCTGGTGCACACACCTGACCCTAATATAGGGGTAAAGCTCGAGGGAAAAGAGGGCGATTTTGAAAAAGCCTTCTTTGAGTAGATTTTTCTGCTGAGATCAGCATTATTGCCCATTCTAAACTCATTCCAACTATCGAAACCATGCAATAACACCTCATTTTTCCAACGCTAACCCTACCCTGGTGCACTCTTCTAACCATAATAAAGGGGTAACGTTCCATGGGAAAGGGGCCATTTTGAAAATCCTTCCTTGACTAGATTTTTCTGCCCAGCTCATCATTTTTGCCCATTCTAAACTCATTCCAGTTTCCAAAAACACATGAACCTGGACATTCATATGCATTTTTTGTAATGCACACATGAATGGTTCTTGGATCTTGTCCTGAATGGGGTTGCACTCCCTCTAAAGGACAGGGTCCGCAGCTTGGGAGTGCTCCTCAACCCGGAGCTGACTTTGGAAGCTCAAGTGTCGGCGGTGGCGAGGAGCGCTTTCCATCAGCTTCGGCTAATCCATCAGCTGCGTCCCTACGTGGAGGACGACTGCCTAGCGACAGTGATGCATGCATTGGTTACTTCCAGGTTGGATTTCTGTAACACGCTCTACGTGGGGCTGCCCTTGAAGACAGTCTGGATACTTCAGATGGTGCAAAATAGAGCAGCCAGGTTGCTGGCGAGGACTGGGCATTATTCTCATATAACCCCAATCCTCTACCAGCTTCACTGGCTTCCCATTGAAGTCCGGGCTCAATTCAAGGTGTTGGTAATCACTTATAAAGCCCTTAACAGCTTGGGACCCAGACACCTTAAGGAATGCCTGTGGCCATATTTGCCCTCCCGCCCCTCTGTGTTGGCGCCCCATCTGTGGAATGCGCTCCCCAGAGAGGTCCACCTGGCGCCGTCGTTATTTGTTTTTCAGTGCCGGGCCAAGACCTTTTTATTCAAACAATTTTTAATAATATTTAATATTTATATATTTTAATTGTGCAGCCAGTGTGTTTCCAGGTTTTAATTGTAATTGTTATGGTCTTATTTATTTATGTCTGTGAGCCGTCCCGAGGCTATGTAGCAAGGGGACGGCCTATAAAAACTTTAAATAATAAAATAAAATTAATAAAATTAATGTAGGCATCCATAGGTGTATTTTGTGCTCATCTAATGCTTAATACATGGATCCAATATCTAAAATGTTTTTGCCTACCTTTTGGAAATGTTTCCATTTTCCTTGCATGTTTAAATGTGTAGATTTTGCTGAAAGCAAAGGATACATGGCAAACTCAGAAATGTATGCATTTCAACTGTAAATTGTGTCCTGGTCCAAGAAGTATGAATGGGGTCAATCTGTTTCAAAAATCCCCGATAAAGTAAATTTCTCACATATTGCTGGATTGAATCAAGGACATATGTCCTCCAATGACTGTCCTTCAGGTTGCACTGGGGAAGGCCCGGAACTGTCAGGGTCAGTGCCTCACTCTGCCATATCGCTTCCTGCGTCCTCGGGTCAGCTAACCCGCCTCACACATTCCTTGTCAGGATGAAAAGGGAAAAGGACAGCCATGCCCTGCCCTCCCCTCCCCTTGAAGGAAGACCATGGGAATCAAAATGCACTTAAGGGAAATAAATGCACTGCAGTGCAGGGGAAAGTATGCTGATGTTTATGCATTGAACTCCTATGCCACCCCATAGCTGAAACTCTTTGGGCAGCTTGCAACCATGCCTGGAGAGAACCAGTTAAAAAACCATAAACATTTCCCATAACACTTGAAGTTATTTTTAAGTTAACAGTCAACA